GGAAAGAGAGATATATAAAAAGGCTTTCCCAAAAACAGTTGTCCAGGAGGGGCAATGAAAAGGAACAAAAGCTATGGGATGAGGATTAAATGGAAGGAAGATGGGAACATTAAAACAGAGAGCGCTGAGAGAGAAAAGAGATTTTTAAAGCAAAACTGGTCCTGTTAAGGTCCTTTTAGTTTCATGGTTATACTAACCATGTTCCATATTTAGGCATCTGTCAGGTGGTTATTGTGAAGCACTTCACCAAAATGAACTCTGACAACCCTCTTTCATGAGACAGGCGAGGGCCAGAGACCCGCTCCCATGCAGGCAGAGACCGAGTTGTACAGCTGGTTTCCACAGAAGACCAGAAAACTCTTTTACAGCACAGCACATTACAGAGCAACGGGCACGGAAAGGTTGTGCTTCTCCTTGGTGTGCTGTGTCATTTCATTGCAGGTCTGCTCTCCTTTCTCTTAGAAGCAAATACTACAGTCTAGGTCTCACTCTTAGGAAAACTCCTCCATGATCCTCCTATTGTTTGAGACTCTGTTCCCTCAAAATGCTGTCAGACATCAGCATCACAGAAGCGATCCCAAAGCCCCAGATAGCTTGTGCAAAGCTGGGTGAAACCCACCAAATTAAGTTCTGCACTCACAGTAGGGAGCCAGTGCAGTCACCACTGGTGGCAGGTGCATGGTGACCTCTGCTGCTAGAGGACGGTCTCTAGTTTGCTCTGGATGGAGTTGTTTTTTTTTCTCTTTTGTGTATGAGAAAACTCCTCTGCAGTTAAGGAAGGAGTGGGAAGAGCTCTGCCTTTCCTGGTGGGCTACAGTCAGCTACATCAGCTTGCACTATCACAGACGCTGCGCTCTGAGGCAGCCAGCATCACGAAAGTGATACAAAAGCCTTTGATCCTTCCCATATGTTGAGAGCAAGAAAGAAAGTGGTGTAAGAAGATGTTTTTATTGTTGCTGGGCTGCAGCAAAGAAACCCCAAACCTCCTGAGGACAGCTGTATAAGAAACTCCTCTATTTCAGAATCAAAATATCATCCTGTGAAACTAAAGGTAACTTTCATTTTCTTTTCTATGTTTCTGATACAAGGCACCTGTCTCCAAATAAGCTCCACTGAAAATATTTCAAGGAGTCTTAGTTAGGTTCTCAAACTGAGTTACTAACCTTAGTGTAAATGCTCTAGACTAAGGTGTGGACAGGTTCATCAGAGATGATTCTTTCCCTTACCAGGTTATTCTTGCCCGAGTTTGATTTTGTAAATCCCTCAAGTGTTGAGTTTGAGTATATGAGATGGAAAAGACTTTGAAAAGCGGTGTACAATGCCTCTTTCTGCATGACATAGCTCTGAAGCTGCTACTGCACTGACTCACTCACTCTTCTGAGATCAAACCAGGGCAAAGTCCAAAGCTAGCATTTTATTTCAGTGACACATGGTCTATTGGGCCTGTCCATAGAAAAAAGAATCCATTACATTATTTGTCTTCTGGACCCAAACAGTGCAATCCTTCCTAAAGAAATCTATGAAAAGGCCTGAAATAACCCAAGGTTACATATCTTAGATTAAACTAAAAGGCTTCTATTAAAAAAAAAATTGCTCATACACCAGAGCCCTGCAAAATTTTATTTCTTGTATTATGCTGTTCTGTGGTGAAATAGTGG